TGTGTTTTGGAAAGTCTGAAAGGAACATTGTAAGTAGGCTATATGTAAGAATTTTCATGTATTAATCGCTTTTTGTTTTGCAAATGTGTGAACAGCTTGTAAAGAAACGTAAAAAATGATGACTGATTTTTTTGTGAAGGACTCCCGGTTTCACCATGGGAAATCCAAAGGATGTGACATTTACGGCGCGCCTACAAAACCTCTCTTCTGTACAATGACATATGAAATGAATGCGTATACAATGTTCAGGATAATGCTGAATGATCCATTCTGTACTGTAATATCATAATTTATCATGCAAAGAAAAGCGATTCATTCAAACTTTAGTCTCACTGTTAGGTGTCTGGTTGCAGCAACAAGGAAACTGGATCTCTATGCAGCACTCTATATTAATTATAGACTTTAAACTTACAGAAATACTCAGGAGATTAGGAAACACAGGCGAGAACAACAAGGTCAACATCAATGACGACAGATAACTAGACACCACAAGACTGAGACTTAAATACACAGGTGATAGGGAGGAAATAATTAGAATGATTAACAAGATAATGAAAGACACACAGCTGAACCAAATTAACTAATGAAGACTGTTGGTCATGGAAACAAGGAGTGGCGGGAAACTGCACGAATTGAACACAGAAAAAAAGTCCAAAAACAAACAGACGTAACACTCACATAGCCAGATCTAGGGTACGTTTACAAGAAAACGATATGCTTAAAACGCTTACGTTTTCCTCGCACAGGTGACATCATTGTCAAAACAATCCCCATTCTCACGGATCCGCGGAAATGACTAAAAAAAAACCTGTATTCTGCTGTCAGGCCACATCACAATGAGAAAAAAACCTTGGGAGAACCCAGGCTCAGTGGGGGGGCAGTTCTCCTCTGGCCAACGAACGAACAGTGTATGATTATGATTCAGACAACATTAGAGGTCAGAAGTCAGATTGGATCAGAACATTAACAATATTTATCCAGTTCCATCTGGTTGGAGGTCAGAGTCATCATGCCGGTATGGAGATGAGTTTGTTGAGGTGTCCATGAGGCCTTCACAGGGCTGATGAGGCTGGCACTTCAGGGATGTGTTGTGGTCTAGGCGCAAGCCCACCATCTGATCTGGATTCGGCCCGTGTCCAGCTGATTACAGTTAAAGGAGCTATTATATATTTTGATTATCATAATTCATTCAAGTTACAAACTCTTAAAGGGACAGCTAAATCAAAAATGATAAGTCTGTCACCATTTTTTCTGTGTGAATTTTTTAAAAATTCAGTGAACTATTTCTTTAATATTGATTTTAAGGATCCAAATAGAGTTAACTACATGTAGGACTGATTAATCTGAGACTTTTGATGAATTTGTCACTCTGAACGTAAGGAAATTTAGCCATTTAGGATTTAGGATTGGGCATTTAGAGATTTAGGATTGGGAATTTGGTAGTTAGGATTGGGCATTTGAGGATTGGGGAGGCGTGGCCCAAATACTGGAGGCTGGGTTTGAAATGGCTGATGCGCAGAGGCACCTTATGGACAGCAGAGGGCCCTCCCAATCCTAATTACAAATTCCCAATCCTAAATCCCTAAATGCCCAATCCTAAATACCAAATTCATTTTCGTTTCAGTTTTCAACTTAGAGTTTTAGTTTCAAATTTAGACTTTTAGTTTTAGACTTTTAGTTTTCAATCTGACCCAATAATCCCTCCATACCCTCGGACGCTGACCGTGCCGTACCAGTCATCGTTACAGGAAGATGAAATTACTCTTGCAGGATTTCTCTTGGAGACAAACTCAGACAGGGTGTTAAAAAAATGATGACTGTCGCTGACTTCTGTGTATGTGTTTATGGATGAGTGGATCATCACTCTTCAGACGGTGTGTCTGTCCTCCCCTCCATGAGTCTGCCTGTCACTCTCAAGCCAGCGATGAGCCGTATCTCCCTGCATTCCACACACCAAGTGCTCTTGCCATCTCTCCAGCCGTTGCCGTGCCAACCGCACTTGTTTCTTCTCCCTTTCTTTCCCCAGGGACAAAAAGTCAAAGGCGGCTATTCGTCTCCCCCCTCTGGCAGCCATATAACTACAAACTCATCATAGGTCTATTAGTGCTGGACTCTTGCAGTCCCACTGTGACTTGTAATAACCGGAGGGGCGCCATTACTGTTAGCACACATTTGCTCACCGATTTTTCTATATAATGTGTCAGTAGGGTTGAAAATCAAGAACCTGTTCTTTTTAAGAGCTGATTTCAGTTTAAAAAAATAAATGGTTTGTGAATGTTGTCATTTTAAGGAAATATGAAAAACGTTCCTCGCATTCATTTGGGAATGAATTGTTTGCTCGAGTCTCATCTTTTATGATTAATGAAGCATGATCGCACTGAATGAAAGGTCATTATTTTATGATCACATCCAGCTAAAAAAATGTAACTACAACCATTAGTATATTGTGTTTTTTAAGGCGTGTGACACTCACTGTAATTCAGGATAATTTCAGACTGGTTTGTTATGACAGTAGTTAAACATTCAGAACAGAGTTTTGAGATAGATAGATAGATAGATAGATAGATAGATAGATAGATAGATAGATAGATAGATAGATAGATAGATAGATAGATAGATAGATAGATAGATAGATAGATAGATAGATAGATAGATAGATAGATAGATAGATAGATGGATGGATGGATGACAATTCTGTAACAATTACATATAAGGACTCACTAGGTTTTGGAACAAAACCCCGATGTTTGTCGGAGTAATTCACTCAAGGTTATATAGGGCTAATTACTTCCTCAAAAGCACCAAAAAAGACCATTAATTAAGTCATCATGGACCCTTAATGATTTTCATTGAAAACCATTAAGAAATGATTAGGCCCTCAGTGAAATTGGAATATGTAATAGAATCATTAAATTGATTACATTTCCCATCCTAAAGAGTCCGGTCTATACTTTGACCTACATGTGTTACATTCTGATATACCAATTGTTTTTTACTTTATTATAAATAGAGAAAAGCACCACGGCTCAACTTACCGCCATGGCCTCTGAAATCTCTCCCATTTTCAGACTCCATCCATCCACATCCACTGCTGTTTTCTCTTCAAAATTCATATGTTAGACTCTTTTGCTATGATTATAATCTTGTTTGTGCTTTGGCTTTCTTTTGATCTGAAAATTCTGTAATGGGAAAAACATGTTTTATCTCACGGTTTTCCCATCCTTTATTCTGCTCGCTTTTCTGAACTGAGTAAATACTGAATATAATGCTTTATAGTGGATCTACTTGCCTCACTGCACCTTCTTTTTTGCGTCTTTTCCTCCTAGACTTAATCTCAGTTATAACATTGTTGGCTTCACTTTTTTATGTTCTTTGTCTTTCCTTTATTATTGATTCCAAATCTCCACAGAACTGTAATGTTCTTGTATTACAAATATGGATTTATTACAATTACATTTTATGGATGTATTAAATTTTTTAGCTTCCCAGTGAGGACAAATGTCTGACAGTAACTCATCACTGAGGCTCTGTTCCAAACCTTTTTGGAACTCAAATGAAACCTTAGTTAGTAATTTGGGACACTATATGCAGAGAGATTGCTGTTAGCTTTTTGCTAAACCAGTGGCACAGTTCTCTAATCATATAATTTTTTTAATTTGATTAATCTTTTAGAATTGTTTTTTGTATTTATTGAATATATTCAATATATCTATCATTTCTTCCACCATTTAACAGCTTAATAGTCCTTGAGAAAGATGTTTAAGAACTAGGGTGACCACCATCAAACAAGCCAAATGTGGGACGATTACTACAGTAAGTTTATGTGGGACAATTACCAACAATAAAACATACCCTGAAACTTTTATATAATGTCTATCTAACTTAATAAAACATTTGTATTCTGCCTTTCAGCTGATAAAAAAAAACCCAGGTATATGTCTTTACTAATATATATATATATATATATATATATATACACAGTATATATTTTTTTCTTTTTTGTTGCCATTATGCCGCCTTGTAAAATTTTAATTTACCAAATTATCCATTTGTTTTTTGACAGGGAACACATGGAACAAATCACCGCTCCACATTTTGATTGACAGCTAAAATAGAAAACATTCATTTTAAATTGTAATAATATTTCTAAATTTTACGTTTTTTACTGTATTTTTCATCAAATAGCCTTCATTTTAAAAAATCTTATTCATCCGAAACTTTAGAAAACAAGTACTGTAAATCCTGCTTGCTATATATTTTATTTTAGAATATTTTTTATTCATATAATAAAAATATTTGCTAATCTTGAATGGCTGAATGGCAGCCAAACCCTGTCTCATACAAATAATAGCACCACAGAGTTACACTTAAGCAGAGTCAAGCAATGGAAAGCCTACAGGTGGAAATGAAGTAGTTTGATAGGAGGAAGTATATTGCTATCACTCTAAGAAATAATTCCGTAAAATAACAGAAAAAGTACTGGCAGCTCATTACCCGGACTTTGTCCCGTTAAATAAAGACATTAGACAAAACAAAGACATTAAAGACATTTTCTGTTAATTCACAGTATGCCCACTTTAAATAAAACAGAAATTTTCTGTTATTTAATGGTATATCTATAGTAAAAAAACGGAAATATTAAATAAATCCGTAAAATAACAGAAAATGTACTGGCAGCTCATTACCCGGACTTTGTTCCGTAATTAATGAAAGATTTCTGTTAATTTATGGTTTTCCTACAGTAAAAATAAAACAGATTAATTTATGCAATATACCTACAGCAAATAGAAATTTTACTTTTCTGTTAGTTAACAGTGTAATGATAACTCTTGTTGAAAACATTTTAAACAAATCTTCTGTGATTAAAAAATATTTTTATTTACTTATAGATCTACAACAATTCCATGAAAACTAAAATACAAGGGAAAAAAAAAAACACAAAAGGGAAAAGTATATACATGCTATAAAAGTGACACTTTTCTCTTGTGGTTCTTCCTCAGATCTAATAAACCCGGCAGCAGCCCCAAAGGTCAGACCCCAGATGAGAGCAACCGCCGGACAGACGCGAACTCTTCCGTCTCAGACCTGGCCAACTCTGTCACGAGTGATCTGGTGATGGTAATGTGAACCTGTGGCTGCTGTGGACTGTTTTCTTTTTGTTTTGCACTAGTTTTGGTGGGAATCCTTTAAACGCAGGGATGCATTGTGTGTAATTGGTGCGCTCCATTACTGCAGTCAGTCACACAGACAGATGTGTCAAAGGCAACTTACCTCTAAAAAGACGGTAATTAGAACTGGTACAATGTACAGAAGGAACCGCGGATGAAGGCCTTCGCAGGGTCTGTGTGTCATTACGTGGGTGGTAAGGCGTTTTTAAAGAGAAGTGATGAGTGCTAATGATGGTGCTTCCTCTTTAAGAGGGCACTTCTCGCAGCTTTGAGTCCCACTGGGGGGGATCCAGGCATTGGGGCATGGCGTGTCAAATTAAGCCCAACTTTCAGCCAAGGTCCTGACACGGATGGGAGTTCATTAGTTCGATATGCCGCTGCTTGTCAGACCGCTTTAAGTGATGGATTACTAAGTTGTTTGTAAAGACCACCAGCCGGTCGCCAACTTTTTGCCCTTCACCACATATTAATGTTAGAATATCACCACCTCCCGCCATAATTTTTGTCTCAATGTTTTGTTAATCATGTTTATGTGGCAGGGTAGTCCGTTACATAAGTTAGCCTGATTCAAACCAAGCTACTAAATAACTAACATAAGTACAACTCACAGTTGATTTTGATTGAGCACGTTAGCATGCTGTTAATCTAATTCTGTGATACTCTCATAAGCAAACAACATACATAACATAAATATTGAATTTACAATTAGAAATATATTTATACAGTTGTGCTCAGAATTAATGGCACCCCTGGTAAATATGATTTAAAAAAATGCCTTTAAAAATTAAATCTGCATTGTTTACACTTTTGATCTTTCATTTAAAAAAATGCAAAAATCTAACCATTCATTGAAGTAAAATAATTAAAAGTGGGGGGAAATCATATTATGAAATCAATGTTTTTTTCTCCAAAACACGTTGGCCATAATTATTGGCACCCTTAGAATTTGTAGGTAAAATATCTCTGAAGTATATTCCCATTAATATTTGAAGAGTTCAGATGCAAAAGCCTCTAAATGCCATTTGAAATTTTCGTCTAAAATGACCGTTTTTATGAAGCTTGTATATATATGTTCAGTAATTTCACTTAAATGACAATTAATAGGTAATCTTCATTGCCATTTAAGTGAAATTACTGAACTTAAATATACAAGCTTGATAAAAATGATCATTTTAGAAGAAAATTTCAAATGGCACTTAGAGGCTTTTGCATCTGAACTCTTCATTTACCCCTTTTTTAGCACAGCAGTGTGACAAGCAGTGTTGTAGTCGAGACCACCTCACTCGAGTCCGAGTCGAGACCGAGACCAGAGAGAGTCGAGTCCGAGTCAAGACCAAGTCCATAGAGAGTCGAGTCCGAGTCGAGTCCGAGACCAGAGACGGTCGAGTCCGATTCGAGACCGAGACCAGTGAGGGTTGATTACCTAATTTACTTTTATTTACTTTTTTACTGAATTTACTTAGAGTTTAAAAAATATGATCAGTTTAGGGTAAAAAGGCCACATAGTAGGTGGTGTTAAAAGTAATTTTATTGCAATTTGTCATGCGCAGTTGCGCACTAGAAAATCACCAATCACTGGGCGTGTCAATCAATTTAAAGAAATATTTTATTAACATACATTAATAATCATGAAAAATATTTTGAATTGAACTAGAGTGGACTCGGAAATAGCCTAAGTCTGAGTCCTAAAAGAAAAAATGTTCGAGTACGAGTCAATTCCGAGTCCAAATGCACACGAGTCCATGACAAGACCAAGACCATTAAAATATGGTCTCGAGACCGAGTCCGAGCCGAGTCCGAGTCTCGAGTACTACAACACTGGTGACTAGGAACATAAAATTGTCTTGCTAAGACTTCTTGTTTCACTGGAGTTGATATAATGATAAATATGAGGAAACGCATAGGCCAAATTCCCTTAATCATCTATCACAATGAGTAAAACCAAAGAATATAGTTCTGATTTGCGTCAAAACATTGTTAAGCTTCACAAAAGAGAAAGTAAGAAAGAAAATAGTAAGAAAATAGCTAAAGAATTGAAAATCCCCATTTTGAACATCAGGGCAAAAATTTAGATGTCCCAATCAACTAAAGATGTTAGGAAGAGGACGTGGTTCTATATTTTCTTATTGTACAGTACGGTGAGGAGGAAAGATTGAGTGGTCAAAGACTCTCCAAGGATCACAGATGGAGAATTGCTGAGATTAGTTGAGTCTTGGGGTCAGAAAGCCAATAAAACAACATCACCAAATGTTGTTTGGGAGGGTTTCAAGAAAAATCCTCCTCGCTCCTCCAAAAACAAAACTCCAGCATATTCAGTTGTCAGACACGACTGGATCTTAAACTTTATAACTAGTTAGTTTGTGAGTGATTATGAATGATTTTATAAAAATAACTGGTTCTTAAAAGTCATGAATCAGATTCAGGGGTACGTTTATATGACAATGATGTATAATTAAAAAAATATAAAAATTATTGTCAAAATGATCCCCTTTCACACATCTGCCACAATGACTAAAAACTGTTTTATGCATGCCAGGCTAGTATGGGCTAGTGGCGATGTCTCTTTATAAAGTAATATGTATGCGGCTGATGTTGCCGTTTTCACAAGTTCACATTTTTGTAGTGTAAAAAGCTTTGAAACATGTTTTCAGAAGTTTGTGATTTCAGGCCCCTGAAACAGTTGTCATGTAAATGAACAGCAAAAATGCATAAAAAGTTTTGTTTTTAGTTGAAAATGCTGTCATGTGAAGGGCCCCTTAATCTTATTTTACTATTATTTATATTCTAGTTTTTATCAATATTTTGAACTAGCTTTTATTTTCATATTTTCAGTTTAGTTTTTTATATATTCATGTTAGTAATTTGGTTAAGTGCATTTGTTCTATTAGTTTTTGTTTTTTTAATATGTTTCTTTTTAGTTTTAATGTTTTCTGGACTTGCAAGGAAACATTTCTAACAGTTCTATATTTAAGTTTTCTTTAACTTTGCTTCTAGATACAGGTATGACACACTGCAATGTGGTTTTGGTAATCATGATTTAACATAGATTTTAAGCGGCCATTTAATGACAATTTTGTCCACTTTGGTTTGTAAGTTGTCCCCAGGATCTGAGGAAGAGGAACATGAAGGACCCGTGTGTGAAAAGTTGGGACGCATCCAGTTCAGCGTGGGATACAGTTTTCAGGACTCCACACTAACAGTAAAAATCCTGAAGGGTCAGGATCTACCTGCGAAAGACTTTTCTGGAACTTCAGACCCATTTGTTAAACTCTACCTTCTGCCAGACAAGAAGCACAAACTTGAGACCAAGGTCAAAAGAAAGAACCTCAACCCTCATTGGAACGAGACCTTCCTATTTGAAGGTCAGTTTGTTTTTACATCTCTTTACATTATGTATTTTGAATTCCTTGTCTTTAAGTAATTTAAAGGTGGTTTTCCTCGTCTAGCCAGACTTTTGACTCGGTAAAACTAAATTCACATCACAGCTTGTTGCCCAAGACTGTTTAAATATAGATTGTGAAAAGCCTAGAAATCTGAAGTTTTTGTCAAAACATCAAAAGATGTTTTCATGTTTTTGAAAATGTTTTGAACATTCTCTTATGCTCACCATGCCTGCATTTATTTAATCAAAAATTTAATCGAGATTAAAGTCGAAATGTTTCGAGATTAAAGTCGAAATTTTTCGAGTTTAAAGTCGAATTGTTTCGAGATTGAAATCGAAATGTTTCGAGATTAAAGTTGAAATGTTTCGAGATTAAAGTCGAAATGTTTCAAGATTAAAGTTAAAATGTTTCGAGATTAAAGTCGAAATGTTTCGAGATTAAAGTCAAAAAGTTTTGAGATTAAAGTCGAAATTTTTCGAGATTAAAGTCGAAATTTTTCGAGATTATAGTCGAAATGTTTTGAGATTAAAGTCGAAAAATGTCAAGATTAAAGTCGAAATGTTTCGAGATTAAAGTCGAAAAGTTTTGAGATTAAAGTCAAAAAGTTTTGAGATTAAAGTCGAAATTTTTCAAGATTAAAGTCGAAAAATTTTGAGATTAAAGTCGAAATGTTTCAAGATTAAAGTCGAAATGTCAACATTTTTAGAATTGCTTTTTTAGATTTTCGAAATGCTCAGGTCTTCCGTAAAAAAACAGTAATATTGTTGTATTATCCCTGCTGTAACCACACCACCATAACAGCTATTCATTATTAGCAAGTATTTTTAATTTATAATATGTATTGCAAGCAAACATGCACTACCATTCTAAAGTTTGGGGTGAGTAAGATATTTTACATTGAAAGAAGTCTCTTATTCTCACCGAGACAGCATTTATTTGATCAAAAATACTGTAATATTGTGAGATATTATTACAATTTAAAATAACTGTTTTCAATTTTAATATATTTTAAAATAGAATGTATTTCTGTGAAGAAATAAATCATTACTCCAGTCTTCAGTCACATGATCATTCTCTGATTTGTTGCTCAAGAAAAAAAAAATTAACATTTTCAACGTCTTCCATCAGGTTTGCAACAATTACCTCAAACAAATGTGTTAAACCAAATTAAATAAATAATCGTTAATGTATTACTTCTTCCTCGCAATTGCACAAACAAAAGGCTTTCCAGTGTTGTATGCAGTGTGCATCAGATGGTCAATGAACACCCTGGAGCCGGTCCACAGTATTTTTGGACCCCATATTGAGCTGTAAATAATTTGGGCTAAAATTATCCCCCCTCTCATTTCTCTCACAGGGTTCCCATTTGAGAAGGTGGTGCAACGCACATTGTACCTGCAAGTGCTAGATTATGACCGTTTTAGCAGAAACGACCCTATAGGAGAGGTGTCCATCCCCCTGAACAAGATGGATCTGGCCCACATGCAGACCCTCTGGAAAGAGCTGAAACCCTGCAGTGATGGAAGTGTGAGTAGATCTGTACTCAGTTACCTTCCTAGCATTATGAAATTTGTAGAGCTTTTGGAGAGTTTTGAAAGGAGCCAAAGACACCAATGCAGGGACAACAGATGCCAATAATAGTCAAAGAAAAGCAGAGATGAAGTGACGGAATGGGGTCGGCTAGGGAGTAGGGATAGGGACAATGCAACATTAATTGTGCAGTGGGTTGATTATGATGTGCAGAGCTTGTCATGCCTCAAGTAATGACATGCTGGGTGCTGTCAAACGTTTTAGCCCTTTTACACAAGAACAAAAGGGGCACAAATGTGTCTTTGAAGTTCTCCTGAAAGAGTTTTCTGGCATGGTGCGTCCAAAAGATCACCCACAGATTCATTGATTCCTGTGTGAAAAGTCTATCGCCTGTGATTTAGTTAGTGTTTGAAGCTGCAGGGTTTCCACTAAAACTTCATAGTTCATTGAAACGGTCCTGCCGTGTGACAAATCCGCTGTTATGAGTACAAATATTTCATGAAGTCACTCGACTGGTGTGAGGTGAATAGAACTGCATGTGTGATCAATATAGAAGTTGGAATTAGTAATAGGCATATGGTTCAGATTAATCAGCTGATATATAATGATTTTTATTTATTTTTCAGCCAAAGTTTGACCAAATATCACAGTGCACATTTTCATTTTCAATTTTTTTGTTAATTTTGTTTTTAATTTAAGCAATAAAATGTATCTATTTAAAGATAAAAATTGAAAGATTTAAACTGAATCTAATAATAGATATATTTAACTTATCAAAATGTGTGTTGGTCCATCCCAGGTAACTTTATTTAATTTTTACAAGGTTTTTAAGTGGAAGATGGAGTCCTTTTTCTCAGTCCTGTTACCAAAGCTCATCTGACTGTCATGTATTTAATGTTTAATAACGTATATTATTTTATTATTATAATATATGTATTATTATATATTTATTATTTATTCTAACAGGTAGACGCAAAAAGAGATGGTAACATAAATTATAAATCTGAGACACGCAAAACATTATGTAAAATAGATATATGATATATGAATTACAGAGGTAAAATGAGTAGAATAACAATCAGAACACTAATTAAATATTATATGGGATATACATAATTTATACAATTAAATATATTTAATATAGTGTTTATAGTAAACCACAAAAATATAATTAAATTACATGTATATGGTACACCATATTAGCCTGACTACGTCAGACTTCCTACTTTCGCTAATTTCATTTCGCTCCTGTAATCTACAAAGCAAAGTGAAGAAGCAGAGTCTGGTATTACCAGGCTAACACCATATAGTGTGAGATATACAACAATGTTAAATAAAAATTTAGATTAGATAATAAATTATTGAAAAAATACTTTTAAAAAGTACCAAAATAAAAAGAGGTTTGGGTTTGCCTGGTCATTTCACATAGAAAAATTGGAACCTCATATGAACCATCCGCTTGCGTGACCAATGAACCAGTCCGGTACTAACCTTACTGTGTTTATTTCTTCAGGGGAGTCGAGGAGACCTCCTTTTGTCTCTGTGTTACAATCCCACTGCCAACACCATCACTGTGAGCATCGTCAAGGCACGCAATCTCAAAGCCATGGACATCGGGGGAACATCCGGTATAAATACATACACTCATAAAACCGCATAGATGAATCATAAATATAACCTTATTGCTCAGCTAGAATATGAAACTAGCACACCATCATGTGTTAAATTCTCACAGGACACACTGTATATGTGTTTACCTTGAATGCACTGGAAGTTATTTTGCAAAGCATCTGCTAAGTGAATAAATGCAAATATAATATGGTGATATTCTGTGTATGTGGGATTTCTGTGGGAATGAAGTGTCCTTGTCAAGATGCTGTCTGCACAACAATTATCGCGAATGAAATTTTAGAATTCATCACAGGAACTCGCTGTGGACTTTTGCCTGTTTACGTGCGTTTCAGACCCCTACGTCAAAGTGTGGCTGATGAACAAAGATAAACGAGTGGAGAAGAAGAAGACGGTGGTGATGAAGAGGTGTTTGAACCCAGTATTTAATGAGTCCTTCCCCTTCGATGTCCCCGCTCACGTCCTCAGAGAAACAACCATCGTCATCACAGTCATGGATAAGGACAGACTGAGCCGCAATGATGTCATAGGCAAGGTGTGAGAAAACTAAATTCTAAATGTATATATACATATATACACTCACCTAAAGGATTATTAGGAACACCTATTCAATTTCTTATTAATGTAATTATCTAATCAACCAATCACATGGCAGTGGCTTCAATGCATTTAGGGGTGTGGTCCTGGTCAAGACAATCTCCTGAACTCCAAACTGAATGTCAGAATTGGAAATAAAGGTGATTTAAGCAATTTTGAGCATGGCATGGTTGTTGGCGCCAGACGGGCCGGTCTGAGTATTTCACAATCTGCTCAGTTACTGAGATTTTCACGCACAACCATTTCTAGGGTTTACAAAGAATGGTGTGAAAAGGGAAAAACATCCAGTATGCGGCAACCCTGTGGGCGAAAATGCCTTGTTGATGCAAGAGGTCAGAGGAGAATGGGCCGACTGATTCAAGCTGATAGAAGAGCAACTTTGACTGAAATAACCACTCGTTACAACCGAGGTATGCAGCAAAGCATTTGTGAAGCCACAACACGCACAACCTTGAGGCGGATGGGCTACAACAGCAGAAGACCCCACCGGGTACCACTCATCTCCACTACAAATAGGAAAAAGAGGCTACAATTTGCAAGAGCTCACCAAAATTGGACAGTTGAAGACTGGAAAAATATTGCCTGGTCTGATGAGTCTCGATTTCTGTTGAGACATTCAGATGGTAGAGTCAGAATTTGGCGTAAACAGAATGAGAACATGGATCCATCATGCCTTGTTACCACTGTGCAGGCTGCTGGTGGTGGTGTAATGGTGTGGAGGATGTTTTCTTGGCACACTTTAGGCCCCTTAGTGTCAATTGGGCATCGTTTAAATGTCTTGGCCTACCTGAGCATTGTTTCTGACCATGTCCATCCCTTTATGGCCCATTAGCACCATGTCACAAAGCTTGAATCATTTTAAATTGGTTTCTTGAACATGACAACGAGTTCACTGTACTAAAATGGCCCCCACAGTCACCAGATCTCAACCCAATAGAGCATCTTTGGGATGTGGTGGAACGGGAGCTTCGTGCCCTGGATGTGCATCCCACAAATATCCAAAAACTGCAAGATGCTATCCTTTCAATATGGGCCAACACTTCTAAAGAATGCTTTCAGCACCTTGTTGAATCAATGCCACAAAGAATTAGGGCAGTTCTGAAGGCGAAAGGGGGTCAAACACAGTATTAGTAGTGTTCCTAATAATCCTTTAGTGTATACACATATATTTATGTGTAAATTTAATGGAGAACACAATACTTATTGTTTTGTTCCTGTTCTTGTTTCTTCCACCTTCTTCTTCTCTCCATCTCTTCTTTTCATGCTATATTTCTAGATCTATCTCTCATGGAAGAGTGGCCCAGCAGAGGTAAAACATTGGAAAGACATGATGAGTCGTCCGCGCACTGCTGTCGCTCAATGGCACGCTCTCAAAGCTTGAAGGACCCGCCCACCAAAAGTAAACAACACCTTCAAAACCCTGTTGATATGCACAAGTTTAAACACGGGTACCAAAAGCCATCCAACTATCTTTCTTTCCTTTTCTCTCTGTCTCTCTTTCTCCCCTCTCAATTTTTTTTCCTGCAGTTTGTTTATGGAGATTCTTCCTTTATTCACTGCTTTTATTTTTTCCCACCAAAAAGAGGCTAAGCACTGCCAAGAAGACTGGGAGAGAAAGTCTTGCATAACTGAGAGAGGTAAACAGACTCGTTTTCCTTGAGAAAAAAGTTTGACATCTCTACTGTTCTCTGAACAGCTGGACCGCGGAACAGGGTGACTTCTATCAACTTCAATCGCTGAACTTGAAACGGCTGAAAACAATCTCCCGAACAGACCCCTATATTGCCATTTTTGTGTCTCACCTCCCTCGTGCCGTCCCTCTGAGCGTACGGAAAGATCCGGAAGGATCGCAACCACAGTGCAATACCTAGTTGAAGGAGGGATGAACTTGTTATGTGTTGGACTTCGTCACCTCTTGATGTTTTTTTTCTCGGAACAGTGTAGAAATTCGTTGGAACTCTTTGTCGTCTGTATGTACTGTGGGTGCTGTTATGTGACAGAAAAAAAGAGGTCTTGTTAAAAAAAAATGGGAAAACATTAAAATTTAAGCTCACTTTATTAACTGGATCAGTTCAAGTGCATAGAGGAAATATGTTTAAATAATTTTAGGACATTCCAATGAGTGTATAAAACAGAAAAACGAGAATTTTTAGTGGGTCTACGCAAGTATTTGAATGCTTGTTGTTTCTAGCCATGTAAGCATGATTTCATGCATTGTTGCGTCAGAGTAGAATTAAGTCCCGTTTCCACCTGGTATTAAGATGCATCTACTTGTGTTTGGATTTTGTCAAAATGACACATTCTACATCACTTTCAAGGACCGCCAAGTACTGTGCGCGAATACAATTGAATGAATGAATTATGCTGCTTACCTTACGAGTGAGCTGAAAAGGAAGTAAATCGTAACAGGGATTTCAATTGTTTTGGTACGAGTTTGAAAGTGAATGTTTTGTCAAACATGTCCTTTCTTAAAACATGTCCAGTAATGCTGACACTTTTGTGGCTGTGTGCGAGCGACTACTCTACAAAAGCAATCTGGTTGAATGAGTCAAAAGTAGACTAGCTCGAAACAATTTAGACCCCATTTATACCTGTATTTAGCATTTTCTAATTGTGATCAGATTGACAAATATGCATTTTAACATCAGGTGTAAACGGGGACTTAGTAACGCAATGCAAGAACGTGTTGAATTCTCAGTTTTACCACTAGAGGCGCTATGTGCTTTTTATTACCGCAGACATATGAAGGGAGCTCTTATCACACTCCTGAAGTTTGTTACCACGATAGAACCCATAAGGGTGTGTTCACACCAAACCTGAAGATACAAGACTTATATGACGTATATTTTGCGACAGAACTTAAGGAGCATCTAAAACAATGCCGTGTGCTGACCTAAATGCGCTCATTGTATGTGCGTACGTACATATGATGGTATTTTTACCAGCTGAGAACTCATGAAAAGCTCATAACATGTGTAACCGTACCTCCGTTACACACACAAACGAAGATCTGCTCGAAAGTGACGGTGCTTCCGACACCTGTACCGAAGTGTAATAGGCAACGTGGCTTTTATGATGAGAAGAACCTGGTGTTCTTGAGCGTTCTTTCCTTTTTAGGGTCGCATCTTGTGACATCACGTCCTGTTTTGGGTTAGTTTAGATGTGTTTGGTCTGTGTTGTGCTCATATTTCCACCACAGTTCATTTGGAAGGGCGCAGAGACCCATATTTTCCTCGGTCCTCTTGTTTGGTGCGCACCAAGATTCGGATGGCAGCGTTTACACTTATTCAAATAAACCAAACTAACAGAGCAATCGCACCAGAGTTCATTTTAATGGAACCAAAGCTGCCAAATGTGAACACTTCCTAAATATGTACATTAGGATTGAACGCTTGCAATGGACTGGCCAAAGCATTTGTGTACTTGCGTAGACTAGAGTACGTTGCTAAATTTCTTCCAAAGCAAAATGAGATTAGAGAGGAGTGTGCGTTTGAAGCGGGTGTATCGACATATTTGTAGAAACTGAACCACAGAAATCCTTTTATCTAAACTAGCATTCCTCATGTAACGTACACATCTTGCAGAGGATTGCATCAACCAATTAACCAGTATGCAATGACACTGCCTATGTGAGTTCAACGCTGCCAAAACGCTGTTCATTTCTTTTCATTTCCAAAAGGGCTGAAGAAGTTCCCTCCAAAATAAGACGTGCAATTTAGAACTTAACTAAAGGAATAGAGCGGAAGCAGAAAATATAATGTAAGTCATGTGGTTGTTGTTTGTGCATCTTTGACTTGGTGTGTGTGTTGGTATGCGTTTGTTGCTGTCTGTATTTGTGTATGTGTTGATGGTTGGATCATAACGATCATACGATTGATTCCTCACAGTACTTATGCTGCCTTCAAGTCTTAATGCAGTTTGAGACATCATAATTACACAGGATTTTGGCTAGAATAAAATAGACACAAATTGAGTCAAATTTTTGCAACAGCTTAAAGTCAAATACACAAGAAACAATTTTCACTAATAATTACCAAGAAACATTAAGTAACATTAAATTAAACAAAATGATAAAAGACATAAATAATATTTTCTTGAAAAAGGTATTCCAGTAATCGTTTTTTTTTCTTTTTTTTCACAATGTTGCAGAGGTTCCGTCCACATATTTTAATGCAAAATTTGGGATATTTCATCAAATTTTTAAATGGAAGCTTCAAAAACTTAGGAGGATACATTTTTATTCTTTACAAAGACTTACATTTAAATTGCTTAAATTTATTCAACTATTTACTAACATTTACTAAATAAATTCTTAGATATGAATCAGAACATTCATCAAGTGTTTATTTTAATTAATTTAATTTATTACATTTAAGAAAACTGCCATAGTTTTTCCTTGAAAGTGATGATTTTGTTCTCCACTATTTTTGTTCAAAATTAGTTCACTTTATAGGCATAAATGAACTTGGATAAATGTGTTTAATTGATTCTTTTGAGCAGGATTTCATAGGGATGCTTCACGTAAATATTTAAGGTAAATAAGGGATACACTGACAAAAAAAAGTTTGTGAATCTCTGCTTTAGAGAATGATGCGCAATTTAGTTCCACAAGCTTGTCGGCTCATAATCCGGTTAATAAGTAGTATTTTGTGGCAAGCTTTTTGGTTATTCCTCATATCCACAAAATGTGTACAAACTGAATTGTGCCATCCACATTCACAATTACAGCTTATTATGATAGCAATTAGCTTCTGGCATAATTCTTGAATCAACATGCTCTCAACTCACAAAGTCTGTGCTCAGTGAAAATAATTATGCTAATTGCGTCATTGCGATCTTGCTCATACAGTCTCATCTCTTAAACACGATCATTCCAACATGACTTGAAGGCAGCATTAGCCTGGCGTCGAGGTTAGTATAATGTGAGTTATAAATGGCAGGTCTGCAGGATATAATAGCAATACTATCACATTTTGTTTTCCGAATAACATTTTGTACGCTGCGTTTGCTTGGGATTTCTGTCGCCTCTTAATGTGTTACTTGTGTAACAGAGAAAAGGCAAATATAGAAAGGGAAGGTTTCAAATTGTTACCATGTCAACAGTTAAATTAGGAGAAATATCTATACTTATTATAACAGACTACAAAACTTCATTGAAGAAGCAAACTCCTTACTTGAAATTATAAGGCAATGTACTGTAGATAAGCAATATTTATGTACAACAGTGAAAACATTTCTAGGTCAATGTAAGGGTTAACTTCAGGGTCAGGACATCCGTTCATATTCGTTCGACTTGAAGCACACATACACACACGCGGTCCTTCAGTAAGTGAAACATCCATCACTTTTGTCCCCTCCACATGCATGTGCTCTTAGTGTCAAAGCAGACGTTAGACGTGAATATCACTGCCAGACGTTTCTCGCAGCTTGTCCCCCACCCCTCGACTAACACGCTGTGACAGACGAGTCCTCAAAGACACAAAGAGAGTGGGAGGGAAGAGTTCAAAGACCAAAAACAAGACCAAAGTGAGAGCAAGAACTACAAAATATTCAAAACTTAGTGTACTTTCTCAGTCATTAAAGGAGTAACTAAAAAAGGATGGATGAAAATGAGTGTGGATTCTTTTATTTGGACTTGTAAGCAGGGTCGTCGCTTGAATTCATGGTTGATAAAGAAAGCATCAATTGATAAAAGATTTCTGTTACATGATCTTCTGAATTTTTGTCATTTGTTTGCTATTGAGTCATACTGTGAAGTCTTGCCCAAGGTGCAATCTTATTAGTCCAAATCTGGCTTTATTTATAGAAATGTTCTATGGTCACACTTTATGTTAGGTGTCTTTAAGTACTTTGTACTTGCATCAATAATAAGTAATGTATTTATTGTGTTCATATTGTATTGCAAAACAGTTTTGCTGCTATTGCGGTGGGATACGGGTAAGGTTAGGGACAGGTTTGGATGGATGGATAAAGATTAATTATATGTAATTACAGTTGTAATTGTATGCAGGTAAAAGATAACAGCGTAAAAAACATGTACACAATAAGTGCATTGTATCAAATTATTAATTTAACTATTAGTACATAAGTTAAAGACACCCAATATAAAGTGGGACCCATTAATACAAAAACAATTAATATTGACAGCATTTGTGGCATATAGTCAGTTACCAAGTATAATTGGCTAGACAATAAATGTAAAAATACACCTTATATTAATGATAACAAGACGTTCATTCACCTAGAAAAGTAAGACAAAGTTGCAGATTTTAATAAGATTTTAATAATCAATATTTTTTTAAAAAAATTAAAATGTCCAGGGATTTTCAAAGTTCTTCACTTTACATTTTACTGTACCTGTTGGTGTTATTATTAATACTAAATTAAAATTTTAGTATTTTGACACATTATATCCCAAATTTTGTTAACAGTTTGAACTTATCCTGAACTCTTAAAATGTCTTTAAACACCAAATATTTTCTGACTGGTTATTATAATTATTATTTAATATATTTATTCATTTATTTAAAAAATATATATAATAATTCAAAATAATAAAAGTATAGATGACTACATTTCAAAACAAAAAATTCACATTGTGCCCCATATGAGTTGAACTTGTACTGAACCCATAACATAAAATATTTTTTTATTGGCTATGATTATGTCTCATCTTAACATTTTTTCGATTGAAAACAAAATTGTTGTTAGAAACTTCCAGGTTTTGACGGTCCTGCTTTTAGAGTGCACATTTTAGTGAGTTTTGCTTTGCGAGTTGAAACCGATGAGCTCCTGACGTGAAAATGATATAAATGCACCGGTGAAGCGGCATGCTTTGTCTTGTCTCGTCTAGTTCTGTGACTCGCCACGGTGAGGCTGCTAATGTGAGCTTGTCTGTTATATACTGTCGTATCCACACATTTCTCAGCTGTTGGATTGCGGATATTTTGGCCTTATGAAACAAAATGCCAAACCAGGTTTGAAACAACCAGCATTTGCATGGTCACGTCGTTACGGACATCAGAAAGAGGAGGCGGAACTGAACTTTGATGTGTGTG